CTGTGAACAGTGTTAAGTGAGCTGGCAGACGCTTATCAATGCCATCTTGTTCTTTTCAGTTATTTCACAACAAAAAAAAAATACTGAAGCTCTATGAAACAATAAATGGTTAAAAAAAGAACTGTTTAAAAAAAGTTAAACAATTGTTGTTAAGGTAAAAACAAAAGAAAATTTGAAGAATTGTATTTGTGCAGTATTTTGTTTGTTGGAAATAGTAAAACAAAAAGATACGATAAAGACCGTAATAGAATCAATACTATGAAAGTCACTTAACTTTTGCGAATTTTTTCACAGCTTTTTATTGCTTTAAAAATAAGGTTTCTTTACTGTTAGACTAAATTTTGAAAAATAATAAAGCTTTTTTGACGTTATAATGTGTTCAAACAGTTTCGAATAAAAAAATCACTAAAAAATAGAGACGAAAGCGCATATTTTATATAGACAGCAAAAAATTTTTATTTTATTAAGTTGGAGCTAGTGTTTCGCTCAAATAATTTGAAGTTCTTATAACCAAAATGTCGTACACTAAAGATATTTTGTTTACGAAAATTGTATAACGGTAAGTAATTAATATTTTCTTTAATAAATTATTTTTCGTATTCGTGGCCGCATTGAAAATTAATAGAAGCAATTTTTTATGTTCACTCTTCCCTTCCCTAATTTGTTGTCTTAATCATCAGAATAATTATTAACATTGAATGCAAGGGAAGAACTAATGTTATGCTGAAATAAAAAACAAAAAAAAAAATGACAATTGAAATAGTTTTGAATCATTTGAATTTGTTACTGTATTATTTGACAATATCACAAACCAAAGTCTACTTTTTTTTGAAATCTTATAATCGTGTCAGTTGTACTTCTCAAAGTAAGGTTTCTTAGGCTGATTTGGGTGGTAAAAGCTTAACACAAAGTAGAAAGTCTAAGTAATGTTGACTCTGTTGCTGACACTGCAGATGATAGTCTTAGCTAAAAGTAGTCAGAAATAAAAAAAAGTCTGTTTTTAGTAGAGTTTTCTAACTATCAGTATTAATAATTCAAACAGTTCATAATAAGCAAACATTTTTGAAACCTTTTGGTTTCTATTATAAAACATTTAGTCACAGAAATAAGCTGTCGATTGGATCAGTTTGCATTAATAGACAATTATGAGCATTCTTTTACTTTTTTTAAACAGGTGCTTTTTAAAATTAGCTTGAAAACTTTGTGCAAAACAAAAAGTGTGTGGAAGAGAATCGTTATAAGAATTGGACGCTTATTTCAATGGAAGTAAAGCAAACCAATATAATAACAACAGTATAATGATAATAATAGGAACAATAATAATAATAATAGGGTATTAGTTATTGGTATTACTGTTATTATAATATCATTGATAATAATAATAATAATAATAATAATAATAATAATAATAATTTTGTCGTTAGTAGTCTAATAAAAATTGCATAATTTTTTCATAAAATATTTTGCACACTTTTTAATATGATTTTGTTGCTAATTAAGAAAAAAGAAATGTTGTTTTTTTTAGGTG